ATATCCAGTCCCACCTAATGTAGTTTTTCCCAAATTCCTGGTAATCCATCCTATAAATGACAGACCCTTTATATCAGAAGCTTTTATAGATCTTTGTCTACTTAGCTACCAATCTATTTAATAGATGTATTGCCCTTTCATGACATGTAATTTATAGTCTCTTTTTGTTGTTGTTAATCCTCACCTGAGGCTATTTTTTTTTCATTGATTTTTAGAGTGTAGAGGGAGGGAGGGAGGGAAGGAGGGAGGAAGGGAGGGAGAAACATCAATGTAAGAGAGACACATTCATCAGTTGCCTCCTGCACTCGCCCCAACTGGGTCTGGGGATCAAACCTCCAACCCAGGTACATGCCCTTGTCCGAGAATCAAATCCGTGACCCTTTGGTGTGTGGGCCAACACTCTAACCTTTAGCACACTGGCCAGAATAATAGTCTCTATTCTTTTAAAGATCATGTTAGAGTTGCAAGAAAACTAGTTTACTTGTTCACTGTGTCACCACTGCACTTGTTTTCTGGAGGCTGGAGAGGGGTTAGGAAAATGCATTTCCGTGTATTGGTCTCTGAGTTGGTATAAGCCCTAAGAAGTTAGGGCTCAACTCAAAATGTAAATGACTCTGTGGCATGTCTAATCACCTTCTAAGTGATACTGAAGGTGTTGGTCCTCAAACCACATTTTGAATAGCAAGAATGCACAGGACTTTAGCTAGTATACTACTCTGGACGACAAATCTGAAATCTTTACTCTGCTGAAAATGCCCAGACGTTTTATAGTACTTTCGTAAGCTTTATACTAATATTCCATATACATCTTTAAAATTTGAAGTCTCAAAAACTAGCAATGCTACATTTTGAAAAATATCTGAAAATGTGAAAAGTATGCATACAAAACTCAAATACTTGCAAAGAGAAGTATGCCACTCCTCTGAAAGTGAGAAAAGCTTTGCTTCCATTTGACATTGTTCTTAAATACATCAGACATACGACCTTCATAAGCACTTTTAAAAACTCACAGACCTCCAGACAGTAAGCTACATTTTAAAAAAATCAACGAACCAATAAATTATTTCATCCAAATGAGATCATGAACAGTATTGCTATCATGACTGTCCCTGATCTAAAAATATAAAATATACCATTCACAGAGTGCTGACAATACGCCAGTCGTTATGCAAATCACTTCCCATGAAACAACTTCTCTAGCACAGTGTCTGCACAGAAGCGGACACATGAAAGGTTCTTGATAAATATTATGTGATCACTTGAATGACAAACATGGATTTTGCCCAGAGCTTACCAGCCAGGCCTGCATCTCACTCCAGTTCTCATTCAGTCAGCTCAGGGGGGGCTCTTGCGCAAAGCAGCATGTCCTCAGTCGGTATCTCCCTGCCAAAGAAGAATGAGAAGGCTGAGCTTAGTAGTCTTTGCCTTAACTGGCTTGAAGTGGATTCAAATGGAACCTAAATTGTATCAAACATTGCATTCTACTCGTCCCCACTCCTCAGGGCACTGGACAAGGCCCCTATATGCCAGATTAATTCTCAATGATGCCTTCTCTGTGTTCGTTTAAGACAACCGTCCTCAGCGTGAAAAGATGCCCGGATTTCTCATCCTCTGGCCAATGGGAGGTTGTCACCGAGAGCAAAGGCAATGAGCAAAGTGCCATCTTCGATGCAATTATGGTTTGCAGTGGCCATCACATCCTCCCTCGCATCCCACTGGAGTCATTTCCAGGTGAGGCCTAGGGGATGCCCAGCTTTTCAGAGCAGGTGTCCAGATATTTTCTATGCAGTTTGGAATGATCATTGTTGTTTCTGTTGACCTCTTTGGTCTTGGTTACACAGGAATCCAGCTAACCTCCCCCAAAGTCAAGATGTCAGAGAATTCATATCCACATTGCCTCCGTGTTGGAGAGGCCCGTTTAGCCATGTGCCTGCTTTGGCCTTTTCCTATCTCACCAAACAGCTGTGACTTTGTTCTGTCCCTGGAGCCTTTTCTGCAGAACCATGCCCATGGACAGAGTTAGTGGGGAAAGTTCCTGGAAACTCTTTTGGTCCTGGACCATATGCTTAACCTAACATTTATTATATGTTTTATACTTAGAGTTTGTCAATTGGCCTTGCTATTATAACCCCCCTAAGAGAGAAAGAGGCAAAAGAAATGATTAACCCCAGGAAGGAAAAGTTGACAATGCAGTTTTCTTGAAATTAATTTGACATAGTTGACAGGCTTCTCTCTGTTTCCTCCTGAAGGTATAGAGAATTTCAAAGGCCAGTATTTTCACAGCCGCCAATACAAGAACCCAGACGGATTTGAGGGGAAGCGAGTCCTGGTGATTGGAATAGGAAACTCAGCCTCAGATATTGCCGTTGAGCTGAGCAAGAAGGCTTCTCAGGTGCAAAGCTCTCTGCTTACCTTGTACCTTGGAGGAAAGGAAAGGGGAGGGGGCACATTGGAAAATCTGAGCATGTAATCAAGGCTCCATTACTCCTTAACTGGTTGGTTGGTTGGTTGGTTGGTTGATTGGGTTCTCCATTGGTTCATGTGGCATCAGAAAATCTGTATGTCAAGAAGCCACAGTTTACCTCCCAGCTCTGCCACTATCAGCTGTGTAACCTAGGCTGAGTCATTTCACTTCGCTGGACTACAGCTCTCTCACTTTGTAAATGGGAAGCTTTGACCAGATGATTTTCAGCCTAAAAAGCGTTGTTTCCACCCAGGGGCCTTAGTGAAAAGCTGACCTGTTCATATATGGGGCAGGGGGAGCAGGGGCATTTAGAAATTTAGTGCACATTTGAATTATATTTGAAATGTAACTCATCCTCAGTTATCCAAAGATTATGAAAAGAAAAGATTAAATAGTCAGTAAGACTCCCAACCAAGATCATAGCTTTGTAGGTGCACACTGAGCCCTTCCAACCACTTTTATCCTTGTATCTGCTCAGGAATGACACAACTGAGCTGTGACGGAGTCAAACATTACAAGATGTAGATAATGCTGACATCGATGATTGGGAATAACAGAAAATAAATCCCTTCCAGTAGGGCAGTCCTAGGCAAAGATGGGAAAATAGCTGGGGTTCCTCTCCCCAAAGCATTCCCTCCCAACAGGGCCTGGGCCCAGGAGCCCTATCTCTTGTACACTAGCCTCCTCAGCTTGGCTTCTTCTGGCTACACAGGACTTACATACCTATGTCCACAACCAGCAAAACTGTCCTGTTCTGAGTCACCTACTTTCAGGGCTTGAGATGCCAGGTAGCAAACATGATAAACAAACAGGGTGTATCCCCAGATGAATGAAGGGTTTACACTGGAACCTGTAAAAGTCACCTATCCAGTCAGTGCCAAGGAAGAAGGGGAGACAGTAAGTATTGGGAAAAGACACTCATGGAAACATTTCACAAGCTAAGGAGTTGAGGTCCTTCCCAGCAAAATTGGTCTCCAAATTCTTGTTTACTCCAGTCATGTGGCACTACACCGAACTCCTCTCCTCCAGTCTATATTTGCAAAGTAATAATAGCTAGCAGACAATAGTTTAAGTACTTTATTTATACCACCTGATTTAACCTGCATAATAATCCCATGAGGCAGGTACTATTAATATCCCCATTTTACAGAAAGAAAAACTGAGGCACGGAGAGGTTGAAATAACTTGCCCAAGGCAACACAGCCTGTAGGTGGTGGGGCTGGGATTCAAACCTAAGGAGTCTAGATGCAGAGTCCTGGATCTGGAGTCCATGATCATAAACACTTAAGTGAACTGGTTTTTCTGCACATGAATCATAGTTAACTGTTTATCTGGGACCACCTTATACATCAGAATTCATAGAATGTCAGGTAAAATTTTGAAAGCAATTCAAATATGCATTTGGGCAATGGGGGGTGGGGGGTGTTGTAACAGTAAGCAAGGTAAACCACCTATCTGGAAATATATGTGTGTGTGTGTGTGTGTGTGTGTGTGTGTGTGTAATTTCAAAATGAGAGAAATCTGAGTAAGAAAGGTAAAGAACATACCAGAAAGACTCAGATGTGTATTTCAAAAGAATGGAAATCACAATATACGTTCAGATTTTAACACTTAAAATGCATAACTGTTCTTTTAAGTGTGGGAGGAAGCTGACACCCCCTGGTATTCCCACTCCAGCGAAGCACAGATCTATGCCTGTATGCCTATATAGTCCTTGGGTTGTCTTGGTACCTTTCCTAGGATTTTAATTACTTTCCTTTACTACAAAAGAAATGTGGGCAGGTGGGAAGGTGAGAAGAGGGAAGGAGCACCAAACCACAACTGTAAACGTGGTAAAGACCTGTGGATTTTATGATTGGTATTAGCCCAAAGATTCTTCTCATGTTTTCAAGAAAGTTCTCAAGACTGTCGTAGTCTTCCTCTATCAATGTGAACACCACTGGGTACTTCTTCTATGACAAAGTTGCCACAGAGCAGTGAAAACAAAATGGTACTTCACTTGCAAGTCAATCATCTTTAAGATAAAGCATTGCAGGGAATTCAGGGGCCATACGTGTGATATATCACCTACAGAGTAGATTCCTCCCAAAAGGGACGATGCCCTAACATAAACTGTCTTTCTTTTTGCTTGCCAGGTGTTTATCAGTACCAGGCAAGGTTCATGGGTCCTCAGCCGTATCTCTGACTGTGGCTATCCCTGGGACATGGTGTTCCACACCCGGTTTCGCTCCATGCTCCGAAATGTCCTGCCACGAACAGTTCAAAAATGGATGTCAGAACGGCAGATGAATCAGTGGTTCCACCATGAAAATTATGGCCTTGAGCCTCAAAACAAGTAGAGTTATTTTGCTTTTTTTATGGTATTCTCATTGGTAAGCAAGGTTGTTAGAGGTGCCTCTCTTCACAAAGGGCCAAATTGCTAACATGGTAGCTCAAGCTTCAACCCAACAGTATGGGTATGGTATAGGTTTTGAGCTTGAATTCCAAAAGTTGTTCTGTATGCATTTTAAAAGTGAATACTTAAGAAGATCAAGTAGAAATGGTATGAGCTGCTCCAAAAAATGCAAAAGTAGGTCATGAAAAGAACTTTCTATTACCCAGAGCTGTCCAACATCAGAAAGGCTGCTTAATGAGATTGTGACCTTCTTTTCAGAGGGTTGTGGTAGGAAACGTTTATCAGAGTCTCCATTCGATGATTTATGTTCTGCTAACTCTGTGTATCATGGGGGTTCTTCCCATGGGCAGTTTTGAGAACATAATCACTGTCTCTTTGCAAAAAAAAAAAAATCTCTGTTTATCTCAAAGTTATACATCACCGAACTTAAAAACTCAAGCAAACATTATAGATGTTTATTTTTCTTTAGTTGATAACAGGCTCCTCCCCTTAAAGGGCAACACAGAAGAGCTTTAGAGTCTTTCAACAAATGCCATGTGACTGCTGTATGCTACGATCTGAGATCTGTAGCATGTATTGCCTTAAACCGAAATATAAGCAGACTTTGCTTCACTGCCCATGCTATCACATATGGAGATTTCATGGATATTTGAGATTAGCAACTATCCCCAATATAATTCTATGCATTAATTTTCATACTGATTCCTTACTAATTTTTAAAACTAATGGGAATTTAATATGTTTTCTCTTTCTTACTTATGATCAGATAGAGATTAAATGGAACAGCAAGATAATTAAAGTAGATAACATAAAAGAGTGTTAGAGCCCTAGCCGGTTTGGCTCAGTGGAGAGTTGGCCTGTGGACTGAAGAGTCCCAGATTCAATTCTGGCCAAGGGCACATGCCTGGGTTGTGGGCTTGATCCCCAAGGGGGGCATGCAGAAGGCAGCTGATCAATGATTCTCTCTCATCATTAATGTTTCTATCTCTATCCCTCTCCCTTCCTCTCTGAAATCAATAAAAATATTTCTTTTTTCAAAAAAGAATGTTGGAAACATCCATGGGCTAATAACCACTGGAATACTCAGCGAATGACCATAGGCACTTGCATTTTGTATAAGCCCTTGGGGATGCTTTCATTTTTTGAAATATCTTTTACCCCTATCACCCATATGTTTCCCTTTGTTAAGGGAGAGATTTGTGACATGAAAATAAAGTCAGATAGTAAATTTGGGGTCAAGCCAACTAATCAAGTTGGAAAGTTTTATGGATATTTGAGAAACCTCTTTATTTTCAGAGCCAAACACACAAAACATCAAGACAGTTCAAGACTCCTCATTAAATGCTCCTTCTGAGTGTTTTCTTCTGTGTGTTTCAGATACCTTATGAAAGAACCTGTACTAAATGATGACCTTCCAAGTCGTATACTCTATGGAGCCATCAAGGTGAAATCAAGAGTGACAGAGCTCACGGAAACTTCTGCCATCTTTGAGGATGGGACAGTGGAAGAGGACATTGATGTCATTGTCTTTGGGCTGCTCTCGTAAGATTTACATCCTAAAAAGTTAGTGGAGACGTCATAAAATAACAAATACAAAGATATAATAACAAACATCTGTAATCATTCCTTTAATATATTAGAAAGTTCTGTGGATTTTGGATGTGAGGGCGATCTGGCTGCGACATCTGTCACCCCATTGATTGCCAGGGTTAATTCTGCTGATCTGTCTGGCTAGGAGGGTGTCCCCCTCCTCCCTCACTGATGTCTGTGCGTCCCTACGAAGCTGTGTGCTGGGTCAAAGAGGACGACCTTCCCACCAAAGGAGAGGACCGGTCTTCGGTCAAGGGTATAGGAGTAGCTGAGCTCCCCTGCTAGAACCTCCAAACCAACCCACTACTTAAACCAGCCTTTTGTATTCTAGGCTTGTGTACCTTGCCCTCAGAGAGGACTATGATGGAAGACATTATCAAGAGGAACAAACACAGAATTGACCTGTAAGAATGTGTTTTTTAATCTTTACCTAGAACAGTGTTCCTCAAAGCACAGTGAGTACTCTACCCACCTGTGAGAACTAACTAGCTGTTCGTTAAAAATGCAAATTCTAAGGCCACAGCCCAGACCAACTAAATCGGAATCTCTGGAGGAGACTGGACGTCTGTGTGTTTTGAGTTCTTCCTAGGTGATTCTTATATATAGTAGTTGAACAACCAACTATTTAAAGATAGGAATTTTACCAAATCAGAACATTTTCCCTTGACTGAATTTCATTTGTTTTGTATGATGCGCATATTAAATTCCATTCACACACTGTGTTTAGAGAGGGAATGGTGTTAATGTAAGAAACATTCAAACCTTTGAAGAATTTTTGTGAGTTTATTTGAGCTAAACTATTGACAATTGTCAGGAAGCAGAATCTCAACAGATTGGGATACTGCTTGGGAGAATGGCAGTGTTGTACCTTATTTTATACATTAAAATCCAAAGAGGAGACAATAAAAAATGTATGTGAGTTACATGAAATCTATTGGTGATAGATTAAGGAGGTAGGAGAAACCAAGGGGGGATTTCTGTGATTGGATAAAAAGTAAAATGATAGACACATACTTGGGTGAAATGAAGGTTCGAGGATTACTACTTTGTGACTGAAGTGAAAGGAGGTTCAAGTGGGTTAAGTCCCCTTGGAAAGTTGACTTGGAGCCTTATATGGCATGAAGGAGTTATCTCATGTCCAAATGCTCATTCATCTAACACTTACTGAGCATCAAATGCCAGCCAGAGTGCCAGGGACGCTACTAATTTTACAAGCAAATATTAAGTGTCTCCTCTGTGCTTGCACTGGGCTAGGCTTTCATCTGTGTTACCTCATCCGTCTTGACAACAATCCTGACTAGTTGGTACTTTGCTTAGTAAATACCAAATAATCATCATGATTATAAATGTTGTCAGTTCCTCAAAGTCCCATGTATTTTACAGTCTATAGTGAATCTGAAATATAGGCTCTTTATTTTAGTCTATAGACAATCTGAAATACAGGCCTCTGGATGGGATAAACCAACACTTGCCATTTATTTGTTCACTCATTCCTTCACCCTGTCAATAGCTATTGAATGTCTTCTGTTCTTATATAACTTTGAACATCTTGTGAATCTGCCCTTCTCACTTTCTTCATTCAGGTTTGGAGAGAGCCAGAGCCAGATTCTGCAGACCAATTACATCGATTACTTGGATGAGCTCGCCGAGGAGATAGGTGCGAAGCCAGACCTCCTCTCTCTCCTGTTCCAAGATCCTAAACTGGCTGTGAAACTCTATTTTGGCCCCTGCAACTCCTATCAGTACCGCTTGGTGGGGCCTGGACGATGGGAAGGAGCCAAGAGTGCCATCCTCTCCCAGAAACAGAGGATGCTGAGGCCTCTAAAGACGCGCACTCTAGAGCCGGCTTCTAACTTCCCAGTTTCCCTCCTGCTG